GAAATTATGTGCAATTAATGCTTGTTTTGTTAATACAACCACAAAAATGGCTATGTACGTTCTAAATTATGTGCAATTGCTGTTATTCCATATTTAATGGCGTGAAAAAATGATTTTTATTCCATTCCATACAAAAAGTAATGTTAATTAAGGATAATTAAGAGTGATTTTATAAAATTATGTTAAATTACTATTTATAGGCAGTAATTAATGTTTTTGGCGGGAAATAGTTTCTAAAAATTAATTAAGTTAATCCTTATTATATAGTAATAGATTTGTAATTTACTTTGTCAAATTAAGTTGAGTTAATCCTTCTATAACACGTTTGTGCGGACGGAATACATAGATACAATCTCAAATGATATAAATGAATGATTTTTTTTTTTTTATCCAATAATACTTCGATGTAGGGAAGCGTACAAGTGAGACGATAAATTGAGAACAATCTCAAAATACCAAGAACAATATCTTTTTTTTATTCATTCATTAACCATCCATCAAAGTCACGGGGTTGAACAATATAATAATCCTAATCTTAGTCTCATAAACTTGCCCAACAAGCTAGATAATTATTTACTTGTCCACTAAGCAAGTAATTATTCTCTTACCAATTAACTACTAATCATAAAAGGAATAATAATAATAATAATAATAATAATAATAATAATAATAATAATAATAATAATAATAATAATAATATTAATATTCATTCTCTATCATCCTCCCTCGGTTGAGGAGGATTCGCCCTCGAATCCGAGACGACGAGACCAAGCCGTTTCCTTGCCCTTGCATCCAACACGGCGCCTTGACCATGCCGTCAAACCTATAGGAGCCGCACCAAAAAGAGCCACGATTCGGGCCATATCCTTCATAAAATTGAATGTATAAGTCGAATAGAAGACCCATCTCAAAATGACCTCGTACTTGACAGTCGGAATCACGAGTCCATCAATAACATCACAAATAGAAAGAATGTGTGGATGGGGAACGTCATACAAAAATTTCTCTCAAATCTTCTCCGGTTTCTCATCAAAAATCGGTGGACCGTCGTACGCCACGAACGACTCCTCGTCGAAAATCGGGGGGCCCTCGTACTCGATCGAACCAAACTTCACCTCCGCCACATCGTCGTCCGCCACGAGTGGCTCCTCATCAAACATCGGGGGGCGTTCGGACTCGGCCGAGACAAGCATCACCTATGCCACGTCGTCGTCTGCCACAAGTGGCTCTTCGTAAAAAATCGGTGGACCGCCGTACTCCCGACCCTCCACATGCTCACAGTCGTCATCATCGGACGACAGTTGTGGTGTTCGTCTGCGGGGCGCCCCGCCTGGACCACGACCACCACGGCCGCCGCTAAATCTCCCGTGCACGCCCTTGTCGCCGGCGTCACGGTACGTCTGCCAATCCACGTGTATCATGGTACGAAGAGTAAGACAATAGTCCTCGATCTCCGCAGATAGATCTGCAACTTGACGACGCATCGTCTTGAGCTCGCGGCCAAACTCCTCGGTATGGCGGCTCAATTCGTAGATGGCGGCGTCACGCTTGTCGTCTGCAGCATCTCGTCGGCGCGGCAGCATCGTGATCGTGCTGACTTCTGATACCTACTGATGTAGGGAAGCGTACGAGTGGGACGATAAATTGAGAAAAGTCTCAAAATACTAAGAACAATATCATTTTTTTATTCATTCATTAACCATCCATCAAAGTCACGAGGTTGAACAATATATAATAATCCTAATCTTAGTCTCCTAAACTTGCCCAACAAGCTAGATAATTATTTACTTGTCCACTAAGCAAGTAATTATTCTCTTACTAATTAACTACTAATCATAAAAGGAATAATAATAATAATAATAATAATAATAATAATAATAATAATAATAATAATAATAATAATAATAATAATTATATTCATTCTCTATCAATCAACATAAACATTAACCAATAAAATAATAATTGGCCACATATTATTACCTAGGTATATACAACATTGATTCAAATCATACAGTACCTAAGTTCACTTTAATGTATAAATCATTAGAATAATAAAGAATAAAATTTTTATAGATAACAGATATGATTTATTTTTTTTCCTAATTACGATGTAAAAATACTTTTTTTAATAAAAGTAATAGGCTTCATAATCTATATCTCTTTGATTATTTTTATTCCTTTAGTTTAAATCTATTCGTTTATATATATATATATATATATATATATATATATATATATAATATTATATTATACTCATATCGGCATTTTCTATTAATAATTATCATTTAAACAACAAAATATCATTTATTATACTACGTGCCAATATTTTGTTTTGTTTAATATTGTTAAATATTAAATTCAACACGTTCTGAATGGAAACAAATCTGACGTAAATTAAGAGTAAGAATCAACAAGATAAATACAAAAATGCACTAATCATGGTATAAAAAAAAGAGTGCATATATAATATTGATAAATACAAAATTTGATCTTTAAGGGAAGTCTGATTTGCATGTTTCTATATACATATAAATAAATATCATATTTGAACTTTAAAAATTTCCTTTTTTCACCTATATTTATGTAATATATACAACTTAAATAATCATTTAAAAAGTAACAACATATTGTAAATATTTCATTTCAAAGTTAAACAAAGAAAGGAATCAAATTGGTCATAAAACAAAACTAAAATAA